AGTATAATAGTCTAAGGTATACTGATTTGTATCACTACAATATAATAGTTATTACGGTGAGGTTGAATTTCCGGTCATTTATTCATCATCCAAGCACGAACTTGTATAAAAAAAAAATCTCTGTAAATTAACCTCAGTTTCAGGTATAGAGATGTGACCTGTTTCTGTGACATGTGCTTTTGACCATCCACAAGAACCTGCGGTCATCCGATGTTCAGTACTTCAGTACTTTGATTAAATTTAATTTCTACCATAAATTTCAATTCAGACAAGAAATCTAAGCGAAAAATTTTAATCGCGTAATAGCAAATCGGTATTAATCAAATATACAAGATAAAGGATTGATTCTCGATTGCTTAACAACGAGAGCGATTATTTCATGGATATTCAGGAGGAACAAAAATAATGAATAAGTTTAATAGGGTTTCAAAATTAGTTCAAAACTGATATCAAAAGTGTGGAAAATTTGGACCGCCAAATGAAAATATCGCATTTAGGTAAGAATTAGAAGTTTTGACTTGGAATAGGTTCACCATGGAACCATTAAGGATATTTGAGAGAGCTAGCGCAGGGCATCAAAACGTCCAACGTTCCAATTCCGACCAAAAACAGTCATGTAAATCTACTTATTTCTTATGCAGCATAAATACTGCAATATGATTGGTTAATTATCCCGGTGTAAATAACACCCCACCCTTGTTCACCCCGGGATAGAATTTTGCCAAAATAAAGAAAAAAAAAAATAAAATGTAAAAAAGAAAAAAATGAATAAATTTGAGGACAAAAATTTGTAAAAAAAATTAAAAATTTTTTTTATTTTTTTTCCCGAAAATTCGAAAGAACACCAAAAAATTCTGAATTTCCCAAAAATAAAGAAAAAAGTATTTAACAATGCGCAGCAACATCGACGTTAAAAAAATGTTACACTGGAAATTTTTCATTAGCATTTTTCAATTTTACATCCCGGTTTAAAAATGGGTAAAGGAATTGTTCATAAGAAATAAATTCGTTATCTTGGTGTAAACAGGGGTGTAAGAATTCTACACCGTTGTTGAAAATTCATACACCCTGTCGGCTGCTCCTCATGGTGTATGAATTTTCAACAAGGGTGTAAAATTCTGTACATCCCTGATTACACCAAGATAACTACACACAGAGTCGGATTTTTAACGTGCATTCCTGCAACAGCCGTTATCACCAGTGATGCAATCTCTAAATAAGGATAAGGCAGCAATAAAACTTGCTCAATTTTGCATAAAATAAAAGGTGACTCTTGTTTATGTTTACTTGTTTAATTAACATTGGTTTCACCAATGGAGGGTATCATTACATTTTGATGAAACGAAGCATTCTGAGGTTGTTCGAATGCAATGCAATGTCTCTTACCAGTCCTAAACATTGGATGAGGTTAGACTTATATTGGACATGCATTCGATTGAGACTTTATGACTTCTGAACCTCAGGATCAATAGGGGATATATAAATAGTAAAATACATTCGTAGGAACTTTCCCTCTCAGAAGTAAGATACTTGCTGAAGGGTCAATTAATTTGTCTATCTGAATGCATACATATGGCCGGTATGGGGATTGATACGGCCAGAAATCACCTTGAAAATTGAAATCTGTATGTGCCTGTCCAAAGTCAGGAGCCTGTAATTCAGTGGTTGTCGTTTGTTGCTGTATATCATATTTGTTTTTCTTCTTTATGTTGTACATAAATCATGCCGTAATTTTCTAGTTTGGATTGTTTTACATTTGTCATTTCGGGGCCTTTTATAGCTGACTATGCGGTATGGGTTTTACCCATTGTTGAAGGCCGTACGGTGACCTATAGTTGTTAATTTCTGTTTTATTTGGTCTCTTGTGGAGAGTTGTCTCATTAGCAATCATACCACATCTTCTTATTTTTATATTAAAAGATAGAAATTTCCAAATTTGATAGTATTACATTGGTTACTCACCAAAGTGTGTTTTCTACTATAGAATAAAAAAACCAAATATTTGTGTCAATAAAAAATACAGAAACTGTCATTCAATCTGAGATAAAGTTGTGTTCAATTATATGTTCAAACTATAAGCTTACTAGAGAACAAAGTTAGCATGAAGGGGAAATAAAATTTGTAAAAAAGATGAAATTGAACACGAATAACATTTTGTACTGTTTTATCCATTATTGTCTGATTGTCTGATATTATGGTGTTAAAGTAGCCCTAACAATAAAAAGTCCTTTTAACACTAATGACTATAATATTTGGAAAAAAGTTACTACATAAACAAAGAATGCTAAATACTTTAGAGAGGTAGAATTATGAATTATTTTGACATGTGATATGATTGCCAATGAGACATTTATCTACCCGAGACCAAAGGACGATGATGTAAACAACAATAGGACACCAGAATATCATAGTAAGCTATAAAAAGCAGTGGAACAAAATGTGTAACAATAAAAAGAGAAAAATAACGGACTGATTTATGCTATCAACAAACGAAAACAAATAAGGCATACAGCAACCAACGACAACAACTGAATCACAGGCTCCTGACTATTGTTATCTATTATAGCATTATTGTATTGGTAATTGCTTTGTTGTATTGATATTTTTATCGTTTATTCTTTCGTGTGTTACATTTTTGATCTTCAGACCGATAAAACAAGAGTAATGTTTTAGATATCAACAACTAGTTTAACCCTGTCGAAAATGCCCGTGAATGCCCCTAATTATGCCAGAAACGTCGTCAGTGGTTGACTTTTGTCATCTCTTTAAAATGCTTTTTTGTCGTTGTTGAGAACATTCTCTTTATTGACCACAAAGTCACAGAAACCAATATAAAATGTGTCAAACATAGATTCAAAGTTGACTAAGAAAAACAATTTCAGCATTTGGGTATAGTTCTAAAATCAAAAACTCTGATATATTTGCACACCAATTATATATGTGTAAAAAAACTTCTACAAAATAAAAATTGTTACCCTAAAATACGTAGGAGACGCTGAATGGAGAAACATTATACCCCTTTGGAGGATGGAAACAATATGCCCGATTTTTTGTCGCGATATGTTGTTAGGTGTTTTCAAGATCTACTACAACAGTAATTTCCCTTCGGACTGACTCGGTGGTCTCGTGATAACGTGCTCTCCTCGATTCCGGGAGGTTGTGGGTTCTAGCCCCGGATGGGTCAACCCAAAGACTTGAAAAACAGGTATTTGCTGCTTCTCTCGATATTAAGGGATATAAGGGGCAAAGACTGGTCGGCTCGGAGTCAGAATAATGTGTCCGGGTAAGTGACATGACAAAAACGTTAGAATTCATGCTTAGCGGGTCGTTCTAGTACAAAGCATGGCTCATATTTATATCGCATTAAAATGTTATCGTCCTGAATATGCATTTACTTTGCCACCGGACGATAAACAGATATTCATTATCATCATCATCATTTCCCCTCAGAGGCGAATTTTAGAATTAATTTATCCATATAAATCTTTATAATACATTTACTTTACAACAAATTGAAAATATTAGCTTTTTCTGCACCGATCTTTCTTATAACTTGTAATTTATCAATAAAATATGTTAAATTAAATTTACTTTGAACTTGCAAATTTCATTCCGAAAACTATATTGTTCGTGTCTTTAATTTTACACCGAACAAAACACATCGCACCTAGGATACCCTAGAATAAAACAGAAATATTCCACTTGCTGGCCTATCAATGTTAACCTCACAGCTGATAATGAAGTACTAATGCCTATTTAATGCGAACTATTTCATACTTTATATAGATGATTAGTTACCTATAATTGTAACATTTGACAGTTGATCACCTTTATTGCCCTAGGAGAAAGTAATTTGCTGAAAAACGTCACATGAGTCTATTGCGTTACACACCCAACATGACGAAAGCTTTTTATATCACTACTGACAGCAAAAATATGTTCAACAGACCGCATAATTCAAACATGTAGCTCATTTTCAAATGTCATTATGGCTTACTATTAGGTAAATTACGAAGCCTTTTGGACATTTTATTATTCCCCCAACTATAATTAAGAGGAAGAACTTACATCCATTATTGGTTAGAAGACTGTAACATATATAACTAACTGTGTGGTAAAGAAGTTTGCAGTAAAAGGTATACAATAGAGGAAATGACCGCGGTTTAACATTATTAGGCAGTATTTGGTACATCGCTCCCAGTTATATTCGAATAGTAGCCAATTAAAATCTATCCAAGTTTGAATAAGTATGTAAAGATCTTCTTTAAAATAAAAATCTCGTCTGCATTTTAGTTGAGATCAGAAGGTTTTGTCGTAATTTTATTTCTAAGATGCAAAGCAAATCTCAAATCATACATGACTAACAGTTTAAATTTATCTGGTAAACTGAATTTTATTCAAAAACGTGTCTTAGTAATATAAATGCCGAACATTACTGTAACAATATATATAAGATAAGTACATTTGTATTCGTAGCTAGTTAATAATGAATAAACATGAAGAATTTATCCATCAAATACGTCATCAATAAATTGTAAATATAAAAATAAGAAGATGTGGTTTGATTGACAATATTAAGACAACTTTCCAGCAGAGTCCATAGACGTGAATGTAAGCAACTATCGGTATGTTTTAATGGCTAACTTCTATGACATTATCATGGAGTAGAAAGACAATTCTAGGTCTTAGATCAGCTCACAAGAAAAGAAAAAAATCCTGGAATAGTATCTTTCTACCTCGTCAGATGTTAGATTCTATGATAAGAACCATTCGGTGTCTTCCTATTTTATATATAAACTATTTATACAAGGTGACGACGATTGTTTTTCCCTCAAACATCTTAAAAGTAATTCTTTTAACATATTGTCGCTTGAAAAGTTAAATTTTAAGGAAACGTTATATTATTGGCTGTTCTTGTCTGATTAGTTCAATAATATTATTGTTTATGTCATATATGTGTTCATCCCTAGGATGTCATTGATGATTCTACTGCTCCGGGCTGTGGTATGATTTATTTGTCGGTTTGTACGACTACCTCCTTGTTATACAGAGCAGGTCTGAGGAATATTTAACTCTTATGGAATATATATTAATATAGTGTGGACATAAATTAATTTTGTGAAGATTTTTTATTTCACCTGTCTAATACAGGTAAGATGTTAATCTAGATGTTGCTTATGTTTCTTGTTGTTATATATTGATGTTTTTATTCTTTTAAAATGGGACATATTGCATTTTAACTTCTATTTGTGTGGAATATGAACTCTAAATAGTTTACATTTATAAATTACCAGGATTAGATACAAAGAAGGACTTATTTTGGATATGGTACGAATATCTCAAGCATCCATCCATATTTATTGTTTCAGATCAAGCGATTATATATACAAATCAGTCACATCACGAAAACAATATTGAAGGATCCTTGCATGTGAGTGCGTTTTTAAAGTCCTCGTTTGGCAAAATTGCCCTTTTAACTGTATAGAAAATATATCAAAATGTACCCTATCGGATGTTTCTAGCTTTTTAAAGGATTTTTCGTCATCATACCTTTTTGACCACTACATTTCGAGCCCCATTTTTAACACGAACGTATATAATTTTGTTGTTTTTCACATGTATTTAGTATATTTTAAAGAATATGTTCAAATGGGCCTATCCTTCATCTTAACGAGATTTGAAGATATGTTTAACAAACTTAACAATAAACCTTTTCAATGATGAGATTATCCATACCTTTACCATTTTTATTTTAAGTAGAAAACTCTACTTTCGTTGTCGTATAGTGTTCATGTCTTGTTTTAGACCACAAGATGTATAGTGGCCTGTCACCATATACATGATATATATGTAGATTATATTTATTTATGTTTTAGTTATTACTTTTACTTTGAAAAGAAAAAAAGTTTTTACCAAACATGACAGATTCCACTTTTTTCTACTTTACACTGAACTTTTATAAATCTTTGAACTTGTAACTTAAAACATAGCTATTAAAGAGGTTTTCGTTTAAAAACTAAATCGGTTTGTGCTGAAATATATTTTGTTCGACTAAAAACTAAACAGAAAAATAAATTCAATCTAGCTATAAATACAGCGAACGTTTTATGACATTTGCTAGGATTGTTTGACGTAGACTCTAGCAAAAAGGGTGGGTATTAGAATGAAATCCTTTTGCGGACAGTTCATTTTTATGTTGTTATAATAGTTTTCAATACGCAAGCATTGATTTTATAGTAAAACACTTAAGATTTGATGCAATTTTTCTTATGAGATCAGATTACGTTTCAACTTTGAACTTGTATCTGGTATAACCAATTTCAATATTAGTTATGAGCTCGAAAGTGTACTTAATATGCAAATATACAAGTCGTATAGCACATCAATTTTATCCACAAACTTAATCTTAACCATATTATTTCTACAGTAACAGTTAAACAGTAAACTATTTTGTGTCCTTATATAAAGTTAAAGCTTAAATACAATTTTCGTGTGTCATCATTGTATAAGAATGTGTGACAAACTGTCATGTTCTTGACCACAAGATGTATTATGAATGATTATACAGACCGTTAATATGCAGACAAAATATGTTGGTTAATCAAATCGGTTATATCTCAATGTCTTATGTAAAAATAAATCTTGTATTTCTAAAATACCATAAGCACTGTAAGTGTTGAATCACCACATACTAAAATACCAGTCTCACTTCCTTATCTTTCAACACACTGTGGCGAAAAAGTAATAATTAATGCACTAACTAGAAAATATCACCAACACAGAAAATCTATAATTTATTAACAAATATAAGACAACATTAGTTGACTGATGTCCACAACTCATAAACTCAAGCTTCTTGGTTTGAAGAAATTACAAATGGTTCAAACAAAAAGAAAAGAAAAAAATAATAGAAAGAAAAAAACAAAACTGCTAATATGTCTTAAATATTCGAATAAATAACAATAATTTGTAGCCTACTTTTTGTTAGGAACTGAACATGCCATTGTTTTGCTATGCCTATGGAAACCTCTTAAAGCATTAAGACATAAGTAAATAATGGAAAGTTAACAATGACAGCACAGATTTGTCCGTGTTTTGCGGGAAACTCCCCAAAATGGTATATGCTAAAATTGGAATGTTTTAAGGTGGGTAACCACCAGAACCACAATCACATCAGAAGACAAATATGGAGATACACGACTTTATTTCGTGTTATGTAATTATGTTAAGTTTTATTTCAATCCCATGTTTATTGTAGGAGAGTTTGCATTGATAAGCTTTTGTAACAAAAATATTTACGGACGACGAACAGATTGACACACACAGACAAAACAAAGATATATAGTGTCATGAGGGCCAAAAGTTTCACTTCAATATATTCAATGGTTAAAAGATAATTGGTACTTGATATACGTATTTTGTTGTTGTGTGAGAAATTGGGAATAACAGATCATAATTTATTATGTAAGATAGAGACACAAGACGACGGACAGTATGTCGACCATTCTACATATAGAATAAAACAACCGTATTGCTCAAATCATGGAATAAATGTTACATCAACGTTTTTTCAGTAAATAAACTTTAAAATATATTTTACTATCGGCCGTGTACATTAGTATAGAGCTCTGTGTTCAACAAAGTCTTGAAATTACAATATAATGCTCGTTACTGCCAAAGAGATTGTAATTACTTTTGTCGTTCCTGATCTTTGCCCTTTATAGTGCCATTAGACGAGTAGCAAACAAATATTTTTGTACTCAAAAATTTAATGTGTCCTTACTCAGTAAAAACTATAATCAATTACAGCCTAATTCGGCCAAAATTTTTATCAAATTTAAACGGAATATTCAGGGTGTATAATTTACTTAATTCATAATAAGATACATTATTTCTTATGAAGCAAGAATCTTGCAATCTGATTGGTTAATTACCCGGGTGTAAATAATACACCCCAGTTCACCCCGGGATACAATGTTGCCAAAATAAAAATGTCAAAACTAAAAAATTAAAAATTACCAAAAAATTACAAAAAAAATAGATTTTGGCAAACTAAAAAAAAAAATTTGTCAAAATAATTGGTTTTTTTTAACCAAATTTATAGAAATTTAAAAAAAAAAACAAATTCCAAAAAATTAAATCTTAAAAAAAGGTAATATTTGACAGCTCACAGCAACATCTGTGTTGAAGAAATGTGTATAGTGGAAGTTCTTCATAAGAATTTTTCTAATTCTATCACCCGGTATATAGAAATAAGCAAAAGAACGCTTTATTAGAAATAAATTCGTTATCTTGGTGTATGAATTTTAAACACCGTTGTAAAATTCTGTACACCCCTGATTACACCAAGATAACTAATAATATCTGCAATCGGTTCTAGACTTACATTTGAAATATGCCATACAAATTCTAGCAATGTGAATTTTTATGCTTTCGGAGATATGCCTAGATCGCAAGTTTTATTTTACACTGAAGCATAATGTTAATTCAAATAATCTTCACATATAAATGTTTATCATTGAAGCATGACGGAGTTCTTATTGACATGATTTCAAAAAAAATCTACACAAACAATTGTTAGTGGCAACACACATAACCACATTTAAGTAATTTCACTTTTGTTTTCGAAGTCATTTTAGATTGACTTTGATTAAGTTGATCATACAGAATGCTTTTTGACATTGTTCTTATCGACTCGAAGAAAAAAGTAAAGCCGGTGACATTTACAAATATAACACCAAATGTTGAAGTGTGCATTGATTGATTGTGTCTTGCTTAAAGTCCAGTTGCAAATATTTCATGCATATTTAGATCGAGAACCAATAATTTATTATACAATAGGTAGGTTCTGTAATGCAGGTCGATCGGGTCGGGAAGAAGGATGGGAAATTTGGACTGCCATTGGAAAATGAGGTCATGAAGAATAGGCGAAAACCTTGCCTTGCACCTACAAAACCGTCAGAGAGTTGTTGCAAGAGGTTTTTTAATTACAGAGCATGGCGATCACCCTATTTAAATTTCCCATTTCGATAGGACTTGGTTGCATATTTATGCATTCCGCACAGCCAAAGAGAACACCCAATTTACGCCAGTGTTTTGCTGCTGGACGAGAGAAGTGTAGAGATGGCCATATTTCTATACCCCAGTAAACCCTTGGGGTAGAAATTCAAATTGATGTTGATGATTAATTTACAAAAATGGATTTCCAGTTTCCTCTTTCAAGTTCTGTTTATGATAGCCTTGGATTGGGACAACTCCGTTTCCAGTCTATCACAAAAACTAGTTTCGTTTCACAGAAATGACTGCAAGAATTTGAAACTGAATGCTAGAATAAAATTAAGATTTCTTCTATTATTGTATATTCGAATACAATAATTAATATGTTGATAATTTGCGTAATAACTTTATGATAGGAACAATTCTTGATTGCCTTTCTTAACATAATTGAGTCATAAAATGTTGATTTCCTTCTTAAATTTTGCCCTAACATGCACATAGTACTACCACGCCTTCTGTAATGTGGTTCATTTCTTCACCATGCTTTCTTATCTGTCTACATAACAAGAATGTAATTGATTGTTTAACATGACAAAATGTAGATATATAAAAGCAAAATGTGATTATCAGTGCTATATCGTGGATAACATATCATAAAATAACATGTTAAATGATCAGCAATGACCTATGACCTTAGCCATGAAACATTTTATTGACATGATCAGTATGTATATAACGAATTCTGTTTGATTTTGCCCAATAAATATGTAGTATTCGATAAAAGAAATTGGGATCGTGTTACTTGTTATGTTTTTGTATATTTTTCAGTCATGAGTCTTTTTTTTTGTCCACGGTCTTTATGTCTTTGAATAACGGTTTCTGAAAGCAACCTTGAAATTTTCAAAGCTTCTTTTTCTCTGACTCAAAAATAGTGCGGGAAAAAAGATAGAACGCAACAAACTTTTTTGAACATTGTACTGACATTTCCTGACGACATTACACATATTACAAACGCATTCATACACTTCCTTTAATTATAGTCAAACACGACTTTTTACACCCATTACATAAAAATGGTGTAAATCTAAATCTTTCTCCAGTCCTTTTTATTGAAATGATTATATTAGTATATTTTATCGAATTATTTACACTGC